AGGTTATTTAATTGATTATTTATTAATTACTTCATAATTAAGGAATATCACATTATAGCTCACAAGTATTTTGACTTTATTTGAACTACATTGGTCAGCTTTGTGCTTTTTTACCCCCATTCACATTACGTTTATTGGACTGCACAAGCCCAACACAAAGACAAGCTGATATCCATGTTTCCAATAGGCTGCGTTGGAACACACACTGCAATTAATTTTAATGTGTAACAGTGTGCTGCAGCAAGTGTTAAGGAAAGAAAAATAGTATTTTTCCTCATGATGAAAAAAATAGAGCAAAGTATTAAGAAGCATGTTAATGCCCATCAACTCTAGTGCATGTTAACATGTGTTAAATACATTTAAAACAAAGCACGTGGTGTGATTCCAGCCTTACTGCAATTAAATAAATCCTATTATCTACCCATTTACTAAGAGGGGGGGGATTTTAGTTTAATTCACCATGAGCAGTGCTAAGATTCTGCAAATGATTGTGAAACTGTATGGCACTTTTTTTTGTTTTGTTTTAAAACATGCTACCCAGAAAGGATTCCAAGCTTTGAAAAGGCAGAGGATCATCAGTTAACTCAAATGGCAATCAGCAAGTTCAAAATAATGCCATTAGGGAATTGTGAGAAATCATAACATTCCCTTTAAATTATATTTACAAAATGTCTTGGCCATTCCTGACCAAGCTCTGCTTAAATTACATACACTGCTCAAATAAAGGAACACATTGAAAACACATCATATCTCAATGGGGAAAAATATCATGCTGGATATCTATACTGATATGGACTAGGTAATGTGTTGAAATTTATTATGGTACTCAGGTGTCCGTTTATGAACCAGCCATAAATGATCGCTGCTCAGTTCTCCGGCATTCTCGGCGAACACAGTTCTCCTGTGAATGCAGTTTATGAAGCGGTGTAGATCAGTTTCTCCAAACGAAGGGAGAGAACGGATCTACAAACGCTGAAGAACGGTCTAAAACTCTGGAAAACGGCTGATTTTACTATAATCTCGCGAGATTACAGTAAAAGATCAGTTTACTAAGCAGAGGTAAATTATCGCTGCTTAGTTTGCGGTTCCTCCGATTCTCCAGCTCTGGGCTGGAGAATCTGGAGGGAGAACACAGATGGCCAGTGAAGGACTGAACATGTTCTTCGCTGATCTCCTGAGTGTCATAAACTGTGAATGACGAGAGAATAGCTGCGATCCTCTGAATCGCAGCTATTCTCTGTGTCATAAACGGACACCATTGTAGTTTGTATGGCCCCACACGTGCTTGTATGCATGCCTGACAACATAGGGACATGCACCTAAAGAGATGACGGATGGTGTCCTGAGGTATTTCCTCCCAGACCAGGGCATCACTGAGCTCCTGGACAGTCTGAGGTGCAACCTGGCGGCATCGGATGGACTGAAACATGATATCCCAGAGGTGTTCTTGGATTTAGGTCAGGCGAGCGTGGGGGCCATTCAATGGTATCAATTCCTTCATCCTCCAGGAACTGCCTGCATACTCTTGCCACGAGGCCAGGCATTGTTGTGCACCAGGAGGAACCCAGGACCCACTGCACCAGTGTAGGGTCTGACAATGGGTCCAAGGATTTCTTCCCAATACCTAATAACAGTCCGGGTGCTATTGTCTATCCTGTAGAGGTCTGTGCATCCCTCCATGGATATGCCTCCCCAGACCATCACTGACCCACCACCAAAACGGTCATGCTGAACGATGTTACAGGCAGCATAACATTCTCCATGGCTTCTCCAGACCCTTTCATGTCTGTCTCATGTGCTCAGGGTGAACCCACTCATCTGTAAACAGCACAGGGAGCCAGTGGTGGACCTGCCAATTCTGGTGTTCAATGGCAAATGCCAATCGAGCTCTATGGTGCTGGGCAGTGAGCACAGGGCCCACTAGAGGACGTCGGGCCCTCAGGCCACCCTCATGAAGTCTGCTTCTGATTGTTTAGTCAGAAACATTAACACCAGTGGCCTACTGGAGGTCATTTTGTACGGCTCTGGCAGTGTTCATCCTGTTCCTCCTTGCACAAAGGAGCAGATACCGGTCCAGCTGATGGGTTAAGGACCTTCTACGACTCTGTCCAGCTCTCCTAGAGTAACTGCCTATCTCCTGGAATCTCCTCCATGCTCTTGAGACTGCGCTGGGAGACACGGCAAACCTTCTGGCAATGGCACGTATTGATGTGCCATCCTGGAGGAGTTGGACTGCCTGTGCAACCTCTGTAGGGTCCAGGTATCGCCTCATGCTACCAGTAGTGACACTGACCCTAGCCAAATGCAAAACTAGTGAAATACAGTCAGAAAAGATGAGTAGGGGAAAAAATGTCAGTGGCCTCCACCTGTAAAAACCATTCCTGTTTTGGGGAGATCCCTATATTTTGCATATAGTGACTTCAGCTAGGAAGGCTGTGCTTTGGCTTGATCCCTCCCATACCTTGCTATTGGATACGCAATGTTAAATTATAATTACTTTATAAAAACTTTGTTTTTAATTTTGGACAGAGTGGAGAAGGATTAGAACACCTATTAGATCATTATTGCTGCCCGTGCCCCAATTAGGGAGATGCTCTATTTGTCCTGTTTACCATTATCATTGAAAGTGACAGTAAAAGAAAAACCCAAATTTTGGGTTGTTCCCAGAAAAGTAACAGAAGTGAAATTTTTCAGTGGTGACGCTAGTTCTGGTGACCTGAGGTTCCCCAAGGAATTCCCTTAATTTGCAGAGATTCTTACTTCCTGTTTTGGCTATGGTACAGGAAGTGAAGTTAAATCTCCCCAATGGGGCACACAAGGCAAAAAATAAACGGACAGGGGTTATAACCCTCCCTTACTCTATCCATAATTTTTTATTTTTTTTTAAGTTTTGCCTATACTTCTACTTTAAGGGCAACCTCATCAACCGATAGCGACATGTAGCAGGTGGGAAGCCAAGGGCCAAAAGGCCGCCTTCCAAGATGAAGTTGGTATTTGCATAACAGTGTCACCTGGGGCCTCTAGAAGACAGCTAGACAGAAAATATAAACTTAAGTAATTTTATTTCATCTAAGGAGTATAAATGATACTGAACACTTTTAGTTTAGATGTAGAGGGGGGGAGAAAAAAAATAGAAGAGGTAGGTGCTTTATACGCTACAACAGTGCTTCTTAGCCAAGTCAGCAGGGACCATTAACAGTACATAGCATTTTCCTTCCACTTAGTGTATAAAGTACAACTATTCTCCAACAATAAAAAAAGCTCATATCACAACCAATGAATCCAAACTGTGCCATGCTACTTCATTGTGAAGCTTAATTCCATTTATAAATACCTGCAGATACTGCCAGTTAATCCACCTTCCTTCAGCAGAATGACCATGTTGAATGGCCAGCAACGAATTTGCTGCAGTGTTGTCACCCTGTTCAGCATAGTAACATCAACAACTAAAGGTTGACTTTGGAAGTTGAAATGAGATGATGCAATCATTTTAATGCACATTTGTCATGACAAAAACAAACTGTAGACCACTGTTGACCGGGCTAGTTGCCTGGCTGTCATGCTAAGCCTGCAAGATACTGACACAGAACAAGTATACAAATAAGGTCTGTCTTTTCTCTGACTTTCCTAATCTGCAGGTTTGTTTCCAAGTCTGTGACTCAAAGTGTTTAAAGCCAAATGGTCAGATGACAGCCAGGCATCTAGCATTTTCTCAGGTAAGCCAATGAAGACCTGTATTTGCTTTAACAAACCCCTCCTCCAGGGAGCTTCTCTTAAAAGCTTAGCATTCAATGCATTTGTGTTTCTCATTGGAAATGCAGAAAACATGTACAGTTAAAGTTTGGCTAGCACATAATTATAGAAATGGAGTTCACAAAATACTTTAAATGAATGTAAACAGAATCAAATAATCTATATAAGCCCATCTAAAGCCTCTATTTTTCAATTTAGAGTGATAAACAGGCATTTTCAGTACAATTCGGCACCATGTTAAAGAACTAAAAAAATATATTTAGCTCTTTTTTTCTTTTTTCTATTGGTAAATGCAAATGGAAAACTGGATTTATCTGGCACCATGCTAGACAGTCGGCAGGAGGGGCTAAGCAGGAATTCTAAATAATTTCCCCAAATTACTGCATATAGAACAAAGTACTGCCAATCTAAAAAGATGTGAGAAGAACTATTCACTGACAGGACTGCCTACAGTGCCAACACCTAAGCAGCTACAGCAGCACCACCAGCAGCAGCAGCAGCAGCAGCAGCAAAGGGGAAATGCTTCAGTCATTTCACTACAGAATAAAAAGGGTTGTCACCCTAATCAATGGAAGTGCCAAACCAATTATTCTACTGGCAGGATCAACAGGTATTTACAAAATGTTCCAGGGGGTCTCTGGTCTTACTGGTATGGGCAGCCTACATCACATATATGATTTTAAAGTTTGACCATAGATCTACATTAAAAAACAGGAGTTTTAACCAAACATACAAAATCTGAGGTAATGGTCTTTTCAGACATCTGTCATCAGGCTGAGCCACAGCGATCAATATATCTTCCTTGACACCAATCAGCAATGAAACTTTCATTCTGTTGTGCAGCTTTTAATGTGTTTGGTGTCTGTCAGGCAGATTCAACAGTTTTCATTTCAGACATTTGTACCAGTGAGGGCTATGGTGTCCATAATCTTCTAATAATCATGGTTTTTAAAACCAATAGGCAACCTTGTGAATATTCCAAACTTCAACAAAAATCAGTTTGGAGCTCCAGTTGTTTCCAGACTGTAACTGTATTTGGAAGAAAAGAAAGAAACCACCATGTGGTAAAAGTTCATCAACTCTGTTTGGGTGAAACAAAGAAACTGGCCCCAGTTCACCTCATGAGAAAGTTGAAATTCTAAAAGGCAAAAAGTTTCTCATGTAAAAAAAAAAATATTTGTTCATCTTCCTTGAAATTACAAAAAGGCGAACCGAACAAAAAAAAACCCTTCAAAATGCGAACCTACTTAGTCCTGACGGTCTATAGCGCCAACCTCTGGTATGCGTTGTAGAGGAGTGGCAGACTCAGGTGACACCTCCTCCTGTTTCATACCACCATTTTCAACCCCTTCATTAGTCCTTTTGGGTGGCGGATCAGCACTGTAAGAGGAAGTACTGCAGTACATGATAAATCCCACTATACACACGACAAACGCCAGAATGTAGAGAACGGAAAACTGCAAAAGGGAAAAAAAAAAAATATTAGGGTGTATGTTCAGGTATTACCCAAATCTACCCTCAAGCCCCATCTCCCGCTTCAGAAAATGTTACATCATTATTTATGATTGAAATGTTGATTAAAGAAAATAATAAACTAGTTAAGTTAAGAGTGATTCTCCCTAAGGGGGGAGAGGTCCATCACTTTAGGACACTAGCAAAAACGCTGAGTGAGGTAGAGTTATGGGAGGGACAGCCAGGGGGTGTGTCCTCAAAAGCTTGCCAATGTCCAATCACCTGAAGGTATCAGCCTATAACTCAAGAGTCTATGAATTTTCAGCCTATGTCCTGTTCTGTGCGATAACAATACAGCTTTTATCACATAGCCATTCCATTACTTCAATAATGAATCAAGGAAGGACTGGCTTTATGCCTGATAAAACACTGAACTAAACATAAAATAAATATGCACGCTTTACAATCCCATGGGCATTATATTTTAGTAGCACTGGATGTAACCAAACCACTTGACTTGCTGAATGGGAAATGGCTTTTCATTTGCAAAACTTAGCTTTAGGCCAAAGAACACTAAAGGAGTCCAGTTTTTTATACTCCTCTGTATTAGCGAAGACAGACTCAACTTTACCTTTCAGGAACCCTTGAAAAAAAAAAAAGAAAATCTTTGGAACCCTTGATCAAAAGCTTGAGATACGTTAGTGTGATGGGTAAGTTGTAAAAATAGCAATAAATATGTAATTATAACAAACACAAAAATATGAAATGGAATAGTATGCAAAATATTTAATATGTCAGATTCACAAAAAACACTAAAATTTACTTTTGAGCTCAGTGACGACACTAACTTTCCGGTGGTTCTCAGCGGCTCCACTAACTTTGCATTTGTGTTGAGTGCAAACATTTAAAAGGATAAGTTCACCTTTGGGAACATGTTACATGTTCCACCTGTTTTTTAGGGTAGAACATGTAACATGTTCCCAATGCTTCCAGCTGCCCCGCCCCATGACAGAAGTTCCCAGTACTAGCTGTCGCTTTTTAAAAACAGCGTGGCCATGCAGGACTTCACCCACACGGCCACGTCACTCATTCACAGTGTTCTGTGATAGAATGAGCAACAAGTCCCGACAGCCTTAGTGGCTGACAGCTTGTAGTTCTCAATCAACACATGAATACATCCCGTACAGGCAAGCAGACATACTGACAGGTCTAAAGAAGACCTGCATGGCACCAGTGATCTGCTGATCGCTGGTGCAATGCTTTACAGACTCCAGCAGCCAAAAATAATAAATACACATTTTTTTACCTGCAAAAAATGTGCATTTATTATTTTTGGGCAAATGGTGAACTTATTTGTTGACAATCCTGAAAACCAGCGCAAAGTTAAACACTGCTTGAAAATTGAAGTCATTAAACGAGAGTTCTCTTACTAAGGTTGTGACATTAAAATTGAACTATACGCAAAACTTTTTTTTCATTTTGGATGGAGTAAGAGGGTTATAACACCTGTAAGGTTTATTTTTTGCCATCTGTATCCCATTGGGGAGATTTACCTGCACTCCCTGTCCCATAGCTTAAACAGGAGTTGAAAGGCAATTCCTAAAAATTATAGGAATCTCTTGGGTTCCCCCAGGTCATATAACTATTGTCCCCATTGGAAGATTTCTCCTCTATTACTTTTCTGGGGAGAATCCAACATTTGGGATTTTCTTTTACTTTTCAATGATAATGGCAAACAGGACAAAAAGAAAGTATGAATCTCCCTAACTGGGACAGCAATAAAAACTGACAGGGGTTCTAATCCCTCTCCACTCTATCCAAAACTAAAAAAACGTTTTGCCTTTATTTATACTTTAACCATTTTCCCGCCACACTATAGCAGAAATACTACTACAGGGCAGCAGGGGTGTGCAATATCACGTATATATACGCAATTTTGCATTTCCGGGTAGGGGGCGCACGCCATTGGTGGCCTCATCTGTTGATCATCGGGCTCCAGATGGTGATTCCCCGCTGGCACCCGGAGATTGACGCGCATCACCAATGACGGAGAGACCTGTATGTAAAACAATACAGATCTCTCCCCTGTCAGCTTCTGCACACTGCTTTGTATGGGCTCTGCATAGCAGAACCATAAAAAGCAGTGTGCTTACAGTGTAAAGCACACAGACAGCACACAGTAAAACAGCACACAGTTAACCCTTTGATCACCCTAGTTGTTAACCCCTTCCTGCCTAGAGTCATCAGTATGGTGTCAGTGCACTGATCACTGTTTTGGTGCCACTGGGGATGTCAGTGACAGCTAGTCAGTTTCCCCCAGTATAAGAATGCCCCTCGCAGTCCCGCTATAAGTCGCTGATCACCGCCATTACTAGTAAAAAAAAAAAAAAAAAACTTCCAGTATCTAAACCGCCATTTGTAGACGCTATAACTTTCACATAAACAAATTTACACGTATTGGGATGTTTTTTAGCAATGTCGCAGAATACATTTTGGACTACATTTAGGACGACATTTGATTTTTTAAAATTTCTTTTACTGGACATGTTTAATAACAAAAAGTCAAAATTATTATTTTTTTCTCAAAATTGGTGGTCTTTTTTATAGCGCAAAAAATAAAAAACACAACGGCGATCAAATACCACCAAAAGAAAGCTCTATTTGTGGGGAAAAAAGGACATACTGTACATTTCATTTGGATGCAGCGTTGCATGACCGCATAACGCAGAGCCGTATCGCAAAAAAAGGCCTGGTCAGGAAGGGGGTAAATCCTCTGGAGGGCAAGTGGTTAAGCAGCAGTAGACAAATGTACTTCTAATACTACTGGAAGTGGGTAAACAAGCAGGCAGTCTGTAAGTTTTGATGTACAGTACTAAGTCAAGGGTGGCTCTACAGTTAACAGCATTCCACAATTCTGATATGAGAAACATTACTCCTGACTGCTTTTGGAAGAATCTGAGCTTGGTCTTTAGTCTGTAGCCTTGGAATGTAAAAGAGGTGGTCGACAAAACAGTTTCTGCTACTTGCTACTTAGAGAGATGTGCTGCTCTCCTCGTCCTGTGTCCTGCAGCGTGACATCGGGAACCAGAACCATAAGCACAGTATCGAGTTAATAAAAGTCCCCCTGACAGTAGTAAATTAGCAATAGGTTCTAGCGGCACAGTGAACCACTGAGGAGTGAATATCAATCTACTACAATGGCAACAGAACACCTGGAGATCTCTCCTGGAACCCTACGATTCAGAAGAACCCAAGTGGAGAAAGCCTGAGCTAAGGTATATGTCGTCCATAGGTGTACACCACTTTCCTTGTACATCCTTTCCTCTATTCTAGGGACCAGCTATAAACCCACTAGTCATTCACATTAGGCATAATTGTGTGATAGAGGATTGATCAATAGGTGATTCAACAGGTAAGTCAGTCACTTTTATGTCAATGCCGATTCAAGGTTACCTGGACAAAATGCCACGCATCCCATCATAGGACTTGATTCCAGTTTCTTTTTCTTTAACCACCTCCCGCCCGCTATATAGTAATATGATGGACGCAAGGTGGTTCTCTCGTTCTGGGAGGACGTCATATGACGTCCTTCCATTCTAACCATGCATGTGCGGCTCCCGAGGTGCGCAGTGCGGCGATCGGTGTTGCGCTGTGTCCCTCAGACACAGCGGATCACCGATCCACGGAAAGAGCCGAAGATGACAGCTCGGTCATGTGATCAGCTGTGTCCAATCACATGTAAACAGGGAAATGCCGGTTATCAGCATTTTTTCTCCTCTTGAGCTGTGACGCTGACAGCTCGAGAGGAGAGGAGAGCTGGTAATCAGCATTCCGCGGAGGGGACATGTACACTGGTCATCAGGGCACTGATGATCAGTGTGCCCTGATGATCAGTGTAGCCCCAGCAGTGCCACCTGTCAGTGTCCATCAGCGCCACCTGTCAGTGCTCATCAGTGCCACATCAATGCCACATATCAGTGCCTACCAGTGCACATCAATGCCACATATCAGTGCCCATCTGAGCTGCCTTTCAGTGTCACCCATTAGTGCCACCTATCAATGCCAATCAGTGCCACCTAACAGTGCCAGTCAGTGCCACCTAACAGTGCCAGCCAGTGCCTTCTATCAGTGCTGCCAGTCAGTGCCTATCAGTGATGCCTGTCAATGCCCATCAGTGCCACCTACCAGTGCCTCCTCATCAGTGCCACCTATCAGTGCCCATCACTACAGCCTCATTAGCGCACATCAGTGAAGGAGAAAAATCACTTAGTTTTTGTTATAAAATTTTGTAAATAGGAAAAAACTTTTTTTTTCAAAATTTTTAGTGGTTTTTGGTTTACGAAAAAATAAAAACCCAGAGTTGATTAAATACCAGCAAAATAAAGCTCTGTCACAAAAAATGATAAAAATTTCATATGGGTACAGTGTTGCATGACCGCGCAATTGTCATTCAAAGTGCAACAGCACTGAAAGCTGGAAATTGGCCTGGGCAGGAAGGGGGTATAAGTGCCCTGTAGGCTTGTAGTTAATCTGATCTAGTCTGATTATCTGCTTTGGTGGTTATATAACCTTTACAACTCTATCTTTCAAACATACAGTTGCAAGAAAAAGTATGTGAACCCCTTAGGATTATGTGGAGTTTTGCATGAATTGGGCATAAAATGTGCTCTGAACGTCATCTAAGTCACAACAATAGAAGAACACAGTCTGCTGAACATAATACTATACAAACATTAGATGTTGCCATGGTTTAATTGCACATAACATGTAAACATTCACACTGCAGGGAGGAAAAAGTATGTGAAGCCCTAGCTTAATGACTTCTCCCAGAGCTAATTGGAGCCAGGAGTGAGCCAACCTTGACTCCAATCAGTGTGATGATATTGGATGTGTTGCTGACAGCTGTCCTGCCCTTAAAAAACACACACCTGTTTTGGGTTTACTGGTTTCAAGAAGCACTGTCTGATGTGAACCATGCCTCGCAGAAAAAAGCTCTCAGAAGACCTACGATCAAGAATTGTTGACTTGCATGAAGCTGGAAAGGGTTACAAAAGTATCTCCAAAAGCCTTGATGTTCATGTGTCCACGGTAAGACAGACTGTCTACAAATGGAGAAAGTTTAGCACTGTTGCTACTCTCCCTAGGCGTGGTTGTCCTATAAAAATGACTGCAAGAGCACAGCACAGCACAGAATGCTGCATGAGGTAAAGAAGAATCCCAGAGTGTCAGCTAAAGACCTACAGAAATCTCTGGCACATGCTAACATTTTTGTTGACACATCTACAATAAGGAAAACATTAAACAAGAATGGAGTACATGGGAGGACACCACGGAGGAAGCCAATGCTGTCCAAAAAGAATATTGCAGCACGTTTGAAGTTTGCAAAAGAGCACCTGGATGTTCCACAGCACTACTGGCAAAATATACTGTGGACAGATGAAACCAAGATTGAGTTGTTTGGGAAGAACACACAAACACTATGTGTGGAGAAAAAAAGGCACAGCACACCAACATCAAAACCTCATCCCCACTGTAAAAAACATGGCGGAGGGAGCATCATGGTTTGGGGCTGCTTTGCTGCCTCAGGGCCTGGATGGATTGTTGTCATTGATATGAAAATGAATTCCACAGTTTATCAAGACATTTTTCAGGAAAACGTAAGAAAATCTGTCCGCCAACTGAAGCTCCGCAGAGGATGGGTGATGCAACAGGACAATGACCCAAAGCATACAAGTAATTCAACAAAACAATGGCTGCAACATCACAGAAATACACCTTCTGGAGTGGCCCAGTCAGAGTCCTGACCTCAACCCGATTGAAATGCTGTGGCATAACCTTAAGAGAGCGATTCACACCAGACATCCCAAGAATATTGCTACACTGAAACAGTCTTGTGAAGAGGAGTGGTCCAAAATTACTCCAGGATTGTTGTGCAGGTCTGATCTGCAACTACAGGAAACGTTTGGTTGAGGTTATTGCTGCCCAGTTATTAAGTCCAAAGGTTCACATACTTTTTCCTCCCTGCACTGTGAATGTTTACATGTTATGTGCAATTAAACCATGGCAACATCTAATGTTTGTGTAATATTATGTTCAGCAGACTGTATTCTTCTATTGTTGTGACTTAGATGACATTCAGAGCACATTTTATGCCCAATTCATGCAAAACTCCACGTAATCCCAAGGGGTTCACATACTTTTTCCTCCCTGCACTGTGAATGTTTACATGTTATGTGCAATTAAACCATGGCAACATCTAATGTTTGTGTAGTATTATGTTCAGCAGACTGTGTTCTTCTATTGTTGTGACTTAGATGACGTTCAGAGCACATTTTATGCCCAATTCATGCAAAACTCCACGTAATCCCAAGGGGTTCACATACTTTTTCTTGCAACTGTACATGAATTTAAACCCAAAAAATTAACTTTGCTTATTAGCTACCTCCTAGACTGTTCACTACATAACATTATGTTTGCTCAGCTGCAGCTTTCCACAACTGATAGAAGTCGGTCTAACGACAGACTTCTGGCAAACAGGCAGGGGCACACAAAGATCAAAATTCGGCTGGTTTATCAGGGATTTCAGTCTATCTATGCCCAACTTAATGAAAGTTTAGTCAAAGACTCTACAAAATAACTTCATTTAGAATAAAACAGGTCACAGGGAGGAGATCAGGTGGATGGAAATGCTGAGATTTTGCTAATAAAGTTTAATGCAGAGAGGATAGCACAGTGCAACAATAGGATTGTTTGAGGTTTTTAAAGATGTGGCATCCTCTATAGCAAAGGCTGTCAACTTATGAGCTAAAGGGGGCCTCAAATGTGGACCATGACATCACCAAAGGGCCACATATAATGTTCAATGTGTGTAATACTTGAGAACTGTCAGAAACTGCAGACCTAATAGAGAAATGAGGGTCAGAGAGTGTGGACAAGATACATTTGTAGCTGGGGATATGTTGCAGAAAACAATACAAAACTGGAAACATGTCACATGAGATCAATTCTAAAACCCTAATCAATGTTTCCATTGCAGACTGCCAAGGTCTGAGGGCCACACATCATACACCAAAGGGCCACAGGTCGGGCACCAAGGCTTTAGAGCAATACATTTGGCTAATTTCAGGACCTACCCTTTAAAGGTGACAACACAGATATAAAGTGTTTTCATAAGATTCTGATAAATAATACAATAACCATTAGATTAATGTGTTTACTGACCGTGTATCCAAATAGAAAGAGACCAAAGAAGAGGCTGTAGATGTCGGCAGTTAGGATACCTAGGTTGACAGAGGTGGCACTGCTGACTTTTATAACAAGTGGCATCACACTGTACAGACAGAACATGCACACAGCAAAACCTGCAAACAGCAATCCTGCAATACAAAACACAAAAAGACTGTTCAAAATGCTAAAATATAACATATCATGAAAGCAGTTGATATAAAGATATTATGAGTATATGGAGATATCTCTAACCCTTACAGATATCTCTGTGACTATGGAGAGGGAAGGAGGAGAACCCTGCAGACTGTCCTGTGCCTATGGAGAGGGGAACACCACAGACATCCTTTTGTCCATGGGGGCATGGGGTAAACCTTACAAATATCCCAGTGCCTATGCAGGGAAGATGGAGAATCCTAAAGAGATCATTGTGCCTATGGGGGGTGGTGGGGGAAGGGTGGGAGCCTACAGATATCCATGTGCCTGTGGAGAGGGCAGGAGAAGAACCCTGGAGACATCTCTATATTTATGGAAAGGGGAGAGGGGAACCCAGCAAAAGACATTCTTGTGCCTGTAAAGATGGGAGAAAACTCTACAGACAACTCTATGATTATGGAATAGGGGACCCTGTCAACGGACTTGTGTCTATGGAAGGGAAGGGGATGCAGGTCCTGAAGAAAACCCTAAGCCTAAGAAGGAGGGGGGGGAGCCCAACAGATATTCCAGTGCGAATGGAATCTTCCAGACTTCCATGCAAATATCCCTGACCTGGCATAAAACAATAGCAGTTGATCAAAAAAAATTCAACCCCCAATCAATACCCCCCAGAGAAGACTCATCCAGTGTATTTTTGCAGCACTTGGGAAACAAATGAACACATAAGAGCAATGCTTAATACAACTGAAACTGGCTGCCTTATGAGCACGTTCCCACATCTGTCAGAACATTAAATTCCTGAGCAACTCATTATTCTAAATTCTAATAACCTCATCTTGTGGTAAACTCAAGGGACGAGTGTAGTTGTAGACTAGTCTATGCTCTAATCTTACCATGAGAGTATGGGAAATAAGTTACATACCCACTTGCCATTTCCACTGGATGTTGCCAATTGCATTGTATTCAACAACCATGCTAAAGATGAAAAACAAAACGCGTGATATTATACAATGGTACTAAACAGACATGTACATACACCAACATTTCCATAAGTACAGGAGAGTTAGCAGGATTGTCAAAGCATGCAGTGATACATTACAGGTCTGGTCAAGCAGAAGGAAATGCTGACAACTTGATAGAGGTTGATGAGTCTATTACTGCTATTCACTTAATTATACATTTATTCAGAGTGCTTTCTCCAAGCTAACAGATCTGAACCCAACTGCCCAGGATGAGGATCTGCACTGCTTTCTGGTGCATTTTCTTCCCCTGAGGAGTCTGCCAATTCCCTTTTGCCAGGACCAGAACCAGCTTCAGCCACGGCTTTTTTAGCATCTGGAAATATTACCTCCAGAAAGTAAACTAGGCTTGAAGCACCAAACCATAGCCATAGGCAGCATCTTAAAGACATGCCTGGTCTCATATAAACCTAACCATTAGCCCATGAACTAACAAATGTACAAAACTACCTCACTACACCCACTTTTAGGGTGGAACATGTAACATGTCCCCACTGCTGCAGCCTCTGCTCGATCCCCCCTCCCTGTGAAAGCAGTATGGGGAGAAGTTGCTAGCTATCAGTTTTTTAAATCAGCGTAGCCGTGCGGGGGCTCCACCCACACACCACATTATTCATTCACAGAGTTCTCTGAATAACTGAATGATTGTACTACAAGTACTGACATCTTTTGGGGATGTCAGCTTGTAGTTCTCAATGAACTACCACGGCACTGTGGAGCACCATGGTAGTGTTCATTCAGCCTTCCTATCAGTGTTAAGCTCTCTGCTCGTATAAGGTACGAGCACACACATTAAACTGACAGTCTGCTGGAGGCCTGCATGGCACCAGTGATCTGCTGATTGCTGATGCAATGCTTTACAAGCTCAGAAAAAAAACAAAAAAAAAAAAATTTTTACCTGCAAAAATGTGCATTTACCATTTTTTTTTTTGTTAACATTAACTTATCCTTTAACCTTTACATTTTTTCTATAAAGCTTAACACTTTAAAAGTAGATTTAGTCCCTAACTGAACATCGCTTAATTTGGTAAAGCACTGTGCATCATAGGCAATTACTGTGTGTCACTGCCTGCCTACACGCACCTACTGTCTTGCTATGGTCTGGCTTTCTGATGGTGATCATGGTGGACCAGGACCCTGCAATACGTGTCAAAGGGGCTGCTTGCTTGTAATCTCCACCAGGGGCGCATGTGACAGGCTGACTATGCAGGGGTACAACTGGAAGACAGTTGTCACTCCATATCAGGAAGTGGCTGAACAAAGATCTTCATGACAGGAACACCAAATAGTATTTTGATTAATTTAGATCTACCTTGATAAAAAATTTTCCAATTTCCTAATAAATATTGCAATTTGTAACTGTACCAGTCGGGAACAAAAATCTTTAAACACATTTTAAATAGCTCATTTAACTATATAAAAGTACCAGTTTTCCAGGCTTAGTTTGTTGCATAATGGGCCTGGATCATCATGTATTTTATTTAAGAGAGGTATGATGTTCTTGCTACAAATGGCTGTTCATGCCCCCTTAACTAATGAAGGTATTGGCATTTGCTCACAGACTAAAGCTGGAATTACAGCGGACTGAACAGGAAAAAAAAAAAAAAAAAAAAAAAGTACAGACTCATCCATGTACACAGACAAGGAGAATGGAGAAATTCCCCCCACCCACAGACATTGTATTCTGATAGCTACACCCACTGCTGCCAGAATACATTGATCAGAGGCTGCAACTATGCATGGCCAGCTTAAACATGTCAACTGCAAAGAACGTTTTGATCAGATCGATCAATTAAGTCATTTAACAACCCCCTACCCTCCTCATTTTGTCAGTCAGGCTAATAATAGGATTTGCATAACTAAAAATTCCTTCAGGACCAATTCACATTGACTTGCACTAAAATATATAGAAAATGGATGTACATTTCCATCCATCATAGTCACGTGCTGACATCCGTTGACATACATTTCTGACATCTGTTGATGCATTTTAGCGTGCGTTAAAGTGTACTGCATTTTTGCAGGATATCCTGTGCATTGTGTTGACATTCGCTTACATCCATTGCATTGCGCTAAAACCCATTCATGTTGCATTTTAGCGCAACGCAGGTCAATGCAGCATTATGGTGTGAATAGGACACATTGGAAATTATTGTTTTTCAGATGTCCTTCTGTTGATCTGCATTTTACAGCTGCACTAAAACTGTGTGAACTGGCCCTCAGACTGTTGAATAATCCAACATAATTCCATATCCTCCTGGACAGAGAACATTTCATATCACTCCCTGCACTGCCAGCACCCACATCAGTCATCACAGAAGCCATTAACACCCATCTTAACATACAGTACATTCCCTTTTTTCAGCCACCACAACTCCAGCTCATGTCTACCCTGAGAAATGAAACACTTTGCATTTCAAGTTGGACACACATTTCATTTCACCTTCACAAAAAGATACTGGAGATCCCCACCCAAATATGCTGTGCTCCCCTAGTCATCTTTCTTTGTACACACCCACACCCAACACTTTAAACCCGTTCAACATTCTTGGACTGCTGCACTTGCAAATCCACCCCAGACCCTTGAAGCACCAAGACTGGGACCAAGTACAAACCCAATTCATAACCCCCCCCCCCCCCCCCCAGAGAAACCCAAAATCGCTGCATGGGCTCAGGAATACGTCAAAAAATCACTGAGCACAGATCGCCATGCCATCCAAAAATTCAAAGACCAAGCAAAGAAGAATCTATATCTGAACATAAAATGAACATATCGTTTGTGCACAGTGGAGGAGCAGTGCTCTTTTGGTGGAGCAGCGATCGTTTTCTACCATCTAGTGGATTTCTTCTGCCCAGCTCTGTACCATAGTGTGGACCTTCACTGACCAAGGGAATCCATCTACCCTTCCCATGCTGATGACTACTCTATGAACTCCATCTTTTCTACCTTGCACTTTTAATGTGCACTTCTGGTTAGTGTGCATTGTTACCCTAGGTCACCGTTGTTGGGACTTTCTTTGATCACTTTCATATATTGTGTCACATTTATATATTTTCTAGTGCTGCACTTTTATTTTATTTTCATGTGAGGATTATTTTGGTTATCCTGTGTGCTTTAGCTGCTTGTACACTGAAAGCGCTCACTTATTATTCTCTGTTTTATGCTATATCTGAACATGATCCTCTCTTCTCTGGTTCGAAGATCATTTAAAATGTTCTGTTACAAAGTGGAAAACTATTCTGTAGTCAGAGGAGTTGAAATTGGACATTCTTTTTGGCAACCATGGGTGCAGTTTCCTCCAGACTAAAGAGGAGAGAGACGTCCAGTATAGGGGCACAGTAATGCACCACCATACCTGCTTCTCTGATGGTATGGGGGTGCATCACTGGAAATGGAATGGGAAGCTTACACATCTGGAAAGGTGCCATTAATGTTGAAAAACAAATCCAGGTTTTAGAGCAGCATATGCTCCCCGCCTAGACCTTGCAGGACAATGCTAAACTGCATACTGCAATATACTGCATCTATCACAAAAGCATCAAGAGTGTGCAAATGTAAAAAAAAAAGTCTACCTGTCCCTCATGACAATCTACTTGTCTTTATAAAAAAAAAAAATAATAATTTTTTGCCAGGATGTAAAATATTAAGGGTTTATGTAGGAATGTATGGGGTTTTGTAAAACAAAAAGGGGTTTTATGGCGACTTAAACGTTTATTGTTTTTTATTTTTTTGGTAGAAAATTATTTAGAACCCCCAAACATTCTATATTTTTTATAAAGTAGGAGGCCTTAGAGAATAAAATTGGTGGGTGTTACAATTGTTTATTTCACAAGGTATTTGCGCAGTGGTTTTTCAAAAGAAATTTTTTAGGAAAAAATTTACACTTTTTAATTTTAATGCAAAAAACACAATTAATAGCATTATTTTATTTATTTTTTTTTAGCCAAGTGTGCATTGAACCTTATTTTACTTAGTGATGTTGGTTGTACTGCATGACAGCTGTACATTGCGTGCCTATTATCTGTATATATGAAATACAATCACTAAAATGACAGAAAACAATACGTGAAATCCAACCAAAATGTCTGGGCAGAACAGGAGAACACACATGCCTGACACTTCTGCACTAAACCCTTGGGGTCACCCTTTGCTAAATCTAGCCTTAAAGTGGAACTTCACTCAATCAACACTGACTGTTTTTAATCTTTATGCTGCTAGCATTAGTAAATGGATAGGAAAGTATATTATATTCACTTGTTTTAAACCTTTTTTTAAATTTCTTAAGTTACTTCCTGGTTTGCATGTCTAGACAAATGATGTCACACATCCCAGGAATCTTCAGGAGGGGAGGGTTCTCAGCTCAGCCAATGCCTGAGCTAAGGGCAGATGGATTCCAGTAAGTAAATGCTACATCATCATCAATCATCTGCCCTTACTCGAGATGACCACTGTCAGAAATGCCAGAGGAGGGTTTTCAAAATTATTTCTCAGCAAATTAAAGCATGGAGAAATGGATGGATGGGGAGTTTGCTTTGAACATTAACATTGAATTAAATAGCATTTTTGGTTTGTGGTGCTCAGATGCAGTGTAGTCTCGCATTAAGGGTATTGAGGCACACTCACACGCACACACAAGGAACCCTGGAGAGCTGCTATTTATACTATATCATGGGTCTGGGTGAGACTGAACCTCTGCAAACCACGGGCCCCAACCAGGGACATCTTTAATGTGGGACAGCTGCTGTACCAGCAGCCCGGCTGCCAGGACGCAGAAGAGGGTGAAGTGGTGGGCGTCAGGCAGGCTCTGGTCAAGTACGGCAGTGTGTGCGGAGCTGTGTGGGGTGAGTGAGGTCAGAGGGTGCCAGTGGAGGAGGAGGAAGAAAAAGTAGGAGGTCAGGTTGGAAGAGCCCTCCGCTCTTTGTTGCTACTACTGCCGCTAGAGATCCTGGTGGAGATAGGACACCGGCTCAGCTACAGACTGATTTTACTGTTGTGGGTTCAGTAACACTTCATACAAAGATCCATATCCTTGTGAAGTATGTCTGTTGCATGAATGCCCAAGAGATGCAATTAGAATATTCCCCTCAAACATGTGCTGGCACTGCAGCTCTGAATCAGACACATCTATATACACACATATTGAGGATGTCTCTCTTTCCATGCATTCTTAAGGATTCACATACAAATCTGCAGTCAGGCTGTAAATCCTTTCAGCTGATGTTGCTATCTTTTATCCCTGGGACAATCTCTTTGCTTGATTAAAACACTTTCAAATACATCTCGACAGCAGACAGAATGGTCATTACGAGTCACTGGAGATCAAAGGAAACTCCAGCCATAATAGGATGGACATGTGAGTCTAATGAGAATTCAAGGATCAGTGAAGTTATTTCTTAAGATAAAGACAAAATAGACAAATGATTTCCTATTGATATGTGATAGAACCTCCTGCCTGGATACCTTGCTCAAAAAGGACATATCAGAAAGGAGTAGCACAGTGGCTAAATGGTTAGCACTTCTACCTGGCAGTACTAGGGTCATTTGTTCGAATCCCAACCACGGCACCACCTGCCTGGAGTTGACATGTTCTCCCTATGTCTGTGTGGGTTTCCTCCGGGTACTCCGGCTTCCTCCCACACTCCAAAGACATGTTGGTAGATTAATTGGTTCTAGTCTAAATTGGCCCTAGTATGCATGAAGGTGATTTAGGGACCTTATATTGTACACTCCTTGAGGGTTAGGGACTGATGTGAATAATATCTATATAAATAAAACTGAATGGGACGTTTGAGCCTCCAGATGCTGCATGCAGACCATGTAAGTGGTGACGAAATGACTGCAGGAACAGGCAGCTGCATGAACACTGTCTACGTTCAGGGCCATTCACCAGCACCCATCAGAACTAGGACGAGCAGCGGTGACCATGCAGCTGTTGTGTCCCCATGCACTTACATATCCTGCCTGCATAAACCACCTAGCAGCTCGAGCCGCATAAACAGATGGCCTGTTCGTGATCCATGTGCCTCTGTGCCAATGTGAATGAAGCTTTACGGATCTCACAATTTACGGTAACAGTTCAAACTGTTCTAAAATGCATCTCATTAGAACAGCGAACTCTGAACTCGAGTCAAGAGACTGTAAGAAGGCCTGAGAGGTGCAATTAGCAAAAATGAAGTGATCAGTCTGCTGCAGGCAGGAGAAAGCAATTTTCCAGCCTCCCCTACCCCAGTAGTTCCAAACCTCTGCATGCTTAAAACGGAGTTCCACCCAAAAGGGGAAGTTCCGCTTTAAAGATTGGTCCCCCGTTCTCCATTAAGGATTGGCACCTTTGGGGAGGGGGGGGGGGGTGTTGGAACGGGTACTCAAATTTGACAGGTACCCACTCTCACTTCCGATGTGATCACCTAGGCGATTGTAAACAGAAGTTGTCCTCCTATCCTTCCTCCCCAAAGTCTTGTGGGACACGTCCCAGAAGATGACGGGGCCATTCACGAAGCTCAGCACTACTCGCGTCTGTGCAGTGTGGCTGTGAAGCCGCACACTGTCCCAGCCGGGTGCCCACACTGAAGATGCCGGTGAAACGGGCTGCGGCGGGGGCAATGCGGGATTGTAGGACAGGTGAGTGGCTGTTTTTTTAAAAGTCAGCAGCTACAGTTTGTGTAGCTGTTGGCTTTTATTTTTTTTACAGAGTGAGTGGAACTCCTCTTTAGGTACCTCCAACAGGTCATGTTTTAGGACTTCCTTCACCTTGCTTTAATTCAATGTCAATGGCTTCTCATTTATGACAGCTATTTTAATCAATGGAAATTCCCAAAAAATGGCTTGCTGGGTGTACTTGAGGACAGAGACCACTGACTTACACGATACATTGCAACTTTCTGCTAAATCACAGCATAAAAGTCTGATATGAGTCAGATGTGTATATAACCAAGGCTACTGCAAAGAGATTTACAGGACTGCGTCATTCACTCTCCAGGATCAGAGATCAGAAGTAGCTATTCACTATGAATGATGACTGACCAAACAATGCTGCAGAGACAACAGCATAGCTTCTGCCCAAAAGTAATATTATGAGAGTTATGTCAACTATCAGACTCTTACAGTTGTATCCCGCTGACAAACGTTCCAAAGAGGCCCAGCATCCCCAGGAACTCCTCCCGAGTCAGGTTCTTCACCACATACTCCTCAGTCACATTAGAAACTGCATACAGGCATGCTGCGAGGATAACCAGGGCATCTCCAATCAACATGTCTGAGGCTGAAAAAAAAAAAAAAGAAGAAAAAAATTTTATTAACAGGTTACACACTTGATACAGAAAAAAAACATGCATGAAAAGGTCCAGAGAACATATTACTTTATACAGAATGTACTGTAATGTAATATCCACACAGCACAAAGTAAATCTGCATATTGCATCCACTTTAGTCAGATCTCAGATAAAAACATTACTGGTGCCGGAAATTACTTTTTCTCCATCAGTATGTTCACATGCTGCCATAAACAAGCTAAAAATATATATACCGTATTTTTCGCTCCATAAGATGCACTTTTTTCCCCCAAAAAAGGGAGGGAAAATGTCAGTGCGTCTTATGGAGCGAATGTAAAGCAGCCGGTCTGGTATTTCTGCCGCCACCATGTCAGAATATCGGGCCGGCCGCTCAGCTCTTCTCTCCTGCAGGACCTTACCAGTTCCTCGCTCCAGCGCTGCAGTCTTCCCACGACGGCTTCTGTAACAGCCGGGTGCCCACTGCGCATGCGCAAGAAGCGCCGCACTTTGTGAATAGTCCGGTGTCTTCTGGGACACATGGCAGGTCCCAGAAGGCTCCGGCTATTCACAAAGCGCAGCGCTCCTCACGCATGCGCAGTGGGCACCCGGCTGTCACAGAAGCTGCCGCGGGAAGAAGAAGGAAGGACAAATCTGCGGAAGTGGGAGCGGGTACCTGTCAAATTCAGGTACCCGTTCCCCCTCCTTCCCCAAAGGTCCGCAGTCTCTGGTAATCTCCTTTACTGTCTGCAGTCTCTGGTCTTCTGTACTATGTCCGCAGTCTCTGGTCATTCCCTGTACTGTGTCCGCAGACTCTGGTCATTCCCTGTACTGTGTCCGCAGTCTCTGGTCATTCCCTGTACTGTGTCCGCAGTCTCTGGTCATTCCCTGCACTGTGTCCGCAGTCTCTGGTCATTCCCTGCACTGTGTCCGCAGTCTCTGGTCATTCCCTGCACTGTGTCCGCAGTCTCTGGTCATTCCCTGCACTGTGTCCGCAGTCTCTGGCCATCCCCTGCACTGTGTCCGCAGTCTCTGGCCATCCCCTGCACTGTGTCCGCAGTCTCTGGCCATCCCCTGCACTGTATCCGCAGTCTCTGGCCATCCCCTGCACTGTGTCCGCAGTCTCTGGTCATCCCCTGTACTGTGTCCGCAGTCTCTGGTCATCCCCTGTACTGTGTCCGCAGTCTCTGGTCATCCCCTGTACTATGTCCGCAGTCTCTGGCCATCTCCTGCACTGTGTCCGCAGTCTCTGGTCATCCCCTGTACTGTGTCCGCAGTCTCTGGTTATCCCCTGTACTGTGTCCGCAGTCTCTGGTCATCCCCTGCACTGTGTCCGCAGTCTCTGGTCATCCCCTGTACTGTCCGCAGTCTCTGGTCATCCCCTGTACTGTCCGCAGTCTCTGGTCATCCCCTGTACTGTGTCTGCAATCTCTGGTCATCCCCTGTACTGTGTCCGCAGTCTCTGGTCATCCCCTGTACTGTGTCCGCAGTCTCTGGTCATCCCCTGTACTGTCCGCAGTCTCTGGTCATCCCCTGTACTGTGTCTGCAATCTCTGGTCATCCCCTGTACTGTGTCCGCACTCTCTGGTCATCCCCTGTACTGTGTCCGCAGTCTCTGGTCATCTCCTGTACTGTGTCCGCAGCCTCTGGTCATCTCCTGTACTGTGTCCGCACTCTCTGGTCATCCCCTGTACTGTGTCCGCAGTCTCTGGTCATCCCCTGTACTGTGTCCGCAGTCTCTGGTCATCTCCTGTACTGTATCCGCAGTCTCTGGTCATCTCCTGTACTGTGTCCGCAGTCTCTGGTCATCTCCTGTACTGTGTCCGCAGTCTCTGGTCATCCCCTGTATTGTGTCCGCAGTCTCTGGTCATCCCCTGTATTGTGTCCGCAGTCTCTGGTCATCCCCTGTACTGTGTCTGCAGTCCATTGGTTCAGAATATTTTTTTTCTAATTTTTTCTCCTCTAAAACCTAGGTGCGTCTTATGGTCAGGTGCGTCTTATGGAGCGAAAAATACGGTATATCTGCTTTATTCTCTGTAGCAGAAGAATGCATAAGATAGCAAGTCTAAAAACTACTGTTGTGCTTTACTAAGCTGCTCTCAGTCCTGTTGAAGCGGGTCACCTATGTTAAAATCTGATACCACCATCTCTTTTAGATTTAAGAACAACTATGTAGTGCAAGGTTTCCCAGCCATATATTTAATCAACATAATGCAGCTAAGTGAATGCACAGGATGCTTTCTTGTTGTTTTTTTTTTTTTTTTTTAATTCACTGTTTTTTACTTTTTTGATTGACTGTGTTCACCATGTTATATGCCTACCCTTTCAAAAGATCTTAGATGCAAATAATTTCTTTATTTTGATCTCTATTATTGATGTTTATTGCTTACTCTGCATTGGATTTAAAATACCACTCTTTTTTTGCAGTTTGCTCTAGTCAGCTGCTAATTTTTTCTAAATATGTAGTGCAAGGGCCTACAAGATTGAGATAGACTACATGAACTGTTTAGGTAGGCTCCAACACCACTTTGATGCAGGTAAATCTAAGGCTGTACAACTGAAAAAGCTTTGCTACGAATTTCATGCATGTGTTCTGTTCTCCAGGAACAAAGTACATTTATTACTTTGTCCCATCTTCCTAGATGCTGCCTAAGGCTAGCTGTGAGGTCAAACCGAGTACCCCTCCCTTCCACCACCCAGCACTTTTCTCCATCTTCAAGCACTTAAAAGCTCCTCATGAGAAATTCAGATGGAGGGGAACTTGTCAGCTAAAATGTTCCAGATATATAGACAAGTGATTGGAGGCAGAGAAAATGCCTGTTTGTCAAAGTTGTCATCTCCTTGCTAGCTGTATTATCGGACAGCTGTGAAAACAGGGTGTGCCCTGTCTGACCTTGTAGATAGCCTTAGACAACCTATAGATTATGCAATTTTCCACCCGTGGTGGAAGGAAAGAAAAATACTCGATTCCCTCATCAACACAGTCCATGTTAATGGGGGTATCCATCCTGCAGCACTATTGTGCCTTGACAGTGGGGAGCCTTCTCTGTCAGCAGAACACACTGATCACTGCTGGGGGCTATAGCCACCAGCAGTGATTGCATGAAAACAAAATCTGACAGGTTGGTTGTACTAAAGTTGATGGATGGATCGACATTTCTTTAAATTGTAAGATGTGTGGCCATCTAAAATCCCACAGCAGTCGTCCAGCAAAGACACCACTAAACAACTGCTATAGCAGACAGCTAGAAATGTGTCAATGAAAAAATGTGCCACTACAAGCTACCTAAAAATGTGAATACAACATCAATATTGTTATCAGATACTCATTGTAGATATATAACAACACAAATGTAAAACTGTTCCCCTTTAATCATGCTGCTCAAAAGTGTAGCCTGACTTGGTAACACAAATGTATATATATTATATATATATATATATATATATATATATAAATATTTTTTTTTTTAGGGGTCTAACCTTTGCCGTTCTCTCTTCCAGACATAAAATCTGCTCCAACCATGGTGCCAACACCCAAAAGACAGACCACAACAGCGATATAATGGATCAGTTTGTATCTTGAGTGAAGGATAAACCAAGAAAGAGCCCAGCATCAGCACAGGGATCCCGACACAGTCCAGAAGCTATATATACATATATATATAAAAAAAAGAAAAAAAAAAAAAAGGAAATGAGGACAGATTAAAAGCACTAGGCTTGTTCACTGCACTATGCTGTGAACGGAGCACTTCCGGGAAGGGAGGGCAGGGATCAGGGAACAGACATTCCCCGATCTACAACCACTCTCCAAAATCTACACCAGTCCTGAGCTCCCAAAAGAGGCAAGCAGGTCTGAGGAAACCCAGCCGGCTGTTAAATTACAAAGCATGCGCCCTTGACTGCCATTAAGTACTGGTCAAGTTCTTAGGGACCAAAGGATTAAAGGGGAGCTCATTTAAAACTGATGTTTCAGCATTCGTCAGATACCAGAAATTTGACAATACCTACTCATATGGACGGCGCTGACCAATCAAAATCCGTCTAGCCTGTCCTGTCAACGTTGCAAGGAGAGGAGAGAAAGTCAGAAGGATTTCAAACCCCCGACCAGTGAAGCAGCTTTCCAGTCAAGCAGGATCGCGGGACCAGGTGGGGGGATTCCAGTGTAAGGTCACCTTACAGTTTTTCTGTAAAGGTGGACTTACACTTTAACCACCTCTAGTCTGGGACAATTCTTGCATTCCTCTACTACAAGTAAAAAGTCTTTTTTTTTATGCTAGAAACCAGATTAGAACCCCAAAAAATTACATATGTTTTTTTTTTTAGTAGAGGCCCTAGAGATTAAAAAAGGTGGGCATTGTATTTTTTGTCACATGATGATATTTGCACAGCATTTTTTTGAAACGCAAATTTTTTTGGGAAAAAAAACCCAAAACACTTCAATAGATTTTAATGCACTCGTAAAACACAATCTAATACCCAATTGTTTGCTAGAGTTTAAAAGATGATGTAACCCCAAGTAAATGGATAGCAAACAGTTTGTGCTTTAAAATTGCATCCACCTATGGAACAGCGCAAAATTACGGTACCTAAAAATCTCCATAGCCAACAATTTAACCCACTTCCTGTCCGGCCCATGTACATAAACGGCCGGACGGTAGCAGTGCCAAAGCGGGTTGCTATTTATAAACGACACCCACATTAACTACCTGTACGCGCGGCACCACAATCAGGTGCCCTCTGTGTCCTCCAGACAAAGAAGAACACCGATCGCTGTACGGGATCTCTGTGTGAGGTCCCAATTCATGTGATCACTGATTGGCCAATCAGTGATCACATGAATAGTAGTAAGCAAGATATCACTTCTGACATCATTGCTTACTACTAGTGAAATCTGTGAATGATCACAGAGGTCACATGGTACAAGGCTATTCACATCAGCCTTGTACCATGTGACAAGCTGTGACCAATCACAGCTCTCACAGCATTTCTCAATGGCTGCAAAAATGCAGCCAGAGAAGGAGGAATTATTGCTTCTACAGCCTTTATGGGTGTAACAGCTATCAGTGTAAAAGAAAACTCTTCATCACCCCCCACAAATAGTGCAGTATCACTATGGTGACAATGTACTGCTAGAGTTACGGTATGTTAAAAAAAAAAAATATATATAAAAAAAAAAATAAAAATGTAAAAAAAAAAAGTTTTAATTATAATTTTTGGTTATAAACTAAATTTGGGTTATTTTTTTTTTTAACACTAACTTTAACTTTTTTTTTTTATCAACTTCATTGCTATTACAAGGGATGAACAACATCTTGGCTCAATGAAGAGATCTATTAGACCCCCAAATCTCCCCTCTGGTCTCCAATGCAGCTGATCAGACCGATCTGTATCTGATCAGCTGCTATCCTGAGGTTTAGGTATGGCAATTTTTACAAAGTTACATTGACCCAGCTTGGACCAAAGTGTGTCATAGCTGTGAGATCCCCCTGGAAGCAGGAAATCACTGAACTATCGTATTTTTCGCTCCATAAGAGCACTCCCCCCCCCCCTCCCCCCCAAAAAATGGGGGAAAAGTTTGTGCATCTTATGGAGTGAATATCGACCAGGCCTCCCCCCTCCCTCCCTGCCACTGTGTGAAAATACCAAGTCAGCCAGCAGAGAGGGGGTGGGGACAGGTCCGGAAGCTCCACTGACTCTGCCCCGGAAGCTCCACTGACTCCGCCCCATGCAGCCTGTATGCTCAAGAGGGAGCTGCTGTAGTAGAAGTGATGTGAGTGGGAGCCCCGCCCCCGGATCTCAGAGGATGCTGAGCACGGCTGGCCAGGTACAGTTGTGTTCAAAATAATAGCAGTGTGTTGAAAAAAGTGAATAAAGCTCAAAATCCTTCTAATAGCTTTTATTTCCATACACACAAATGCATTGGGATCACTACACATTCTATTCCAAATCAAAACATGAAGAAAAATAGATCAAATTTGGATTGTTCCTCTAAAAAAATTGAAGAAAAGTGAATATTAGACTGTTCAAAAAAATAGCAGTGTTTGTATTCTTCTTTACAAACTCAAACATTCACTATATAAACTGAAAAATGTTTGAAGATTTTGCTTTCCTTTGAATCACTTAATGAATATTTAGTTGTATAAGCACTGTTTCTGAGAACTGCTGTACATCTGTGTTGCATGGAGTCAACCAACTTCTGGCACCTGTGAACAGGTATTCCAGCCCAGGATGATTGGACTACATTCCACAGTTCTTCTCTATTTCTTGGTTTTGCCTCAGAAACTGCATTTTTGATGTCACCCCACAAGTTTTCTATTGGATTAAGATCCGGGGATTGGGCTGGCCACTCCATAACGTCAATCTTGTTGGTCTGGAACCAAGATGTTGCACGTTTACTGGTGTGTTTGGGGTCGTTGTCTTGTTGGAACACCCATTTCAAGGGCATTTCCTCTTCAGCATAAGGCAGCATGACCTCTTCAAGTATTCTGATGTATTCAAACTGATCCATGATCCCTGGTATGCGATAAATAGGCTAAACACCGTAGTATGAGAAACATCCCCATATCATGATGCTTGCGCAACCATGCTTCACTGTCTTCACAGTGTACTGTGGCTTGAATTCAGTGTTTGGGGGTCGTCTGACAAACTGTCTCCGGCCACTAGACCCAAAAAGAACAATCTTACTTTCACCAGTCCACAAAATGTTGCGTCATTTCTCTTTAGGCCAGTCAATGTGCTCTTTGGCAAATTGTAACCTCTTCAGCACATGTCTTTTTTTCAACAGTGGGACTTTGCGGGGGCTTCTTGCAGATAGCTTGGCTTCACATAGGCGTCTTCTAATTGTAACAGTACTCACAGGTAACTTTAGACCTTCTTTGATCTTCCTGGAGCTGATTGTTGGCGGAGTCCTTGCCATTTTGGCTATTCTTCTATCTATTCGAATGGTAGTTTTTCGCTTTCTTCCACGTCTTTCAGGTTTTGGTTGCCATTTTAAAGCATTTGCGATCATTTTAGCTGATCAGCCTATCATTTTCTGCACTTCTTTATATGTTTTCCCCTCTCCAATCAACTTTTTAATCAAGGTATGCTGTTCTTCTGAACAATGTCTGGAATGACCCATTTTCCTCAGAATTTCAGAGAGAAATGCACTGTAACCAGCATGTACAACATTTGCTGCCTTCCTTCCTTAAATAAGGGCAACAATTGCCACCTGTTTTTCAAAGAATGAATGACCTCACTAATAGAACTCCACAGTATTATTTTGAACATGCCCCTTTCAATTAGTGATTCAATTACACAGAATCAGCACCATGTGTGTCATGACTGTTGGATTTCTATTACTCTACTACACCTGCTAGTAAATTATTTGCCATGTAGAAATATCATTTCTACCAAAAACAGTGATTGATCAGGTTAGTGATGTCTGACTGCTATTATTTTGAACACAACTGTATGTCCTTCCCCCCATAGACTGCCTGTGGACTGTTACACCAAACTCTGAGCTGCTGTTCACAAACTGTAGATCTGTGCATTGCTGAAAGAACTCTGGTCACCTCCTGCCCTCTGTACGCGCAGTCTCTGGTCACCTCCTGCCCTGTGTGCGCAGTCTCTGGTCACCTCCTGCCCTGTGTGCGCAGTCTCTGGTCATCTCCTGCCCTGTGTGCGCAGTCTCTGGTCATCTCCTGCCCTGTGTGCGCAGTCTCTGGTCATCTCCTGCCCTGTGTGCGCAGTCTCTGGTCATCTCCTGCCCTGTGTGCGCAGTCTCTGGTCATCTCCTGCCCTGTGTGCGCAGTCTCTGGTCATCTCCTGCCCTGTGTGTGCAGTCTCTGGTCATCTCCTGCCCTGTGTGCGCAGTCTCTGGTCATCTCCTGTACTGTGTCTGTAGTCTCTAGTCATCTCCTGTACTGTGTCTGTAGTCTCTGGTCATCTCCTGTACTATGTCTATAGTCTTGGTTCATATTTTTTTTTCTTGTTGTCGTCCTCTAAAACCTAGGTGCGTCTTATGGAGCAAAAAATACGGTATACACCATTATGCCAGTGATCTCCAATTGCTTCCAGGTCCTGTGCTGAGCAGCTGACCTGCTGCATTATAAACACAGGAGGTCATTTGTTTGGCACAGGTACCATTCAGATAACACTTTTTATTTTCTCAATTAATACAAAGGGGAAGATTTACTAAAACTGGTGCACTCAGAAGCTGGTGGCCAGACAGCTTCTAACTTCAACTTGTTCAGTTAAGCTTTGACAATAAAACCTGGAAGCTGATTGGTTTCTATGCACAGCTGCACCAGATTATGCAACCTCCAGTTTTAGTAAAAAGTCCCCTAAAGTGTTCTCCAATTGGATGAGGTGAAGATTGTGACAACACCACTCTGCCTCAATCAGAGAATGCTTCAAAGTTATTGAGACAATGCAAAGTCTTCTGTGAAAAAAAAATGTTAAAGAGTAGGTTATAAAAATGGGAATTTAGTTGCTATAGTCTATAAACTAGTCTTTTACAAATTGACATAGGTGTCCTATTGTGTATTTGTGCACAGAAATGAGAAAAAGATAAATATGCAACATAAAAAAAAGTTAAATCAGCCTTACCTGGACACTAGTAAGGGTAGTAAACTGGTAGGCTTTCACAATGGAGTAGTTGGCTTCCACATCAACTATACCAAGAAGAAGATACTTCCACCACTTGTTTCTCACTATGTACAGAAGCCCGTTCTGTCCTGTTCCAGGCGGAAACAATGGAAAGGTTCAGCTAGTGCCTTACACAACAGGCTCATGTCACAAATCTATTTTACACAGCTGGTTAGTGTACTCTACCTAAAGCGGTTCTTTAGTCTACTGTGAAAAAAATAAAAGTGAGCAGCTACAGAAACTGTATCTACTAGCTTTTCAAAATAACCATTCACCTGTCCCACGATCCAGCGGTATGCTCACCCCTGCTGGGCTTCCGTAACGTCTTCTGTCCCCAGAATCTTAACTGTGGGCACACGGCTGTGCCAGATTGTGGTTTCACAGCCAGGTGCCCACTGTGCATGCGTAAGCAGCGCTGCACATTGTGAATGGTCCCAGTCTTCTGGGACCTGAAGACTGTGGGAAGGGGGTGGAGAACTTCTGCTTCTGATCGCCTAGGCAGTAGGAGCAGAAACCTGTCAAAATCAGGGCACAAGTTTACTTTAACCGCTTGCTGTCCGCATAACACATATGTACAACAGCAAAGACTGTGGGCTTGAACATCAATATGCATCCATGGATGGTTGAGGTTTCTGTGCTGAGAGTGTGCTCGCAACACACTAACTGCACTGTCATAGACCACTCTCAATCTAGTCATGGTCAGGTGTTGGTGGGACTGGCTTCTGATCATGTGACTGGGCAGTACACTTTACCCCCTGGGTGTAAAGACCCACTTAACGCCTTCATGACTGAGGGGTAAAACAAAATTTAATGCCAAGACCCAATTTTGCAACTTTGACACATTAGTAAAACTACATACGATCGCAACTACTTTGTGTATCCAGGTGAATCATACCCATCTTTTCAGGACAAACTGGGCTTTCATTTGGTGGCAAATGGTAACGCATCTCATGATTTGTTATTATTATAGGAAAACTGGGCCAAAATAGTAGAAAAATAGTTTAAATTCAGTTGTAGATTTCATGCTATGACCATAAATAGCACCAAAGAACAACCCAAAATAAAATTCTCCTGCTGGCGATCGCAGTGATAACACGTGTATGGTATTTGTTGTTTGTACCTGTAGTAGGGCCCAGAAACAAAAGTGCACATTTTTCTTTTTTTATTCAAAAATACACTAACACTAACTCACACTGTTACTAATTTTAAAAATGCAGGTTTTTTTTTGTTTGTTTTTTTAATCCCACCTAAAACATGCTGACCCTGACCTTTGACTCCTATCTTGACCCTAACACTAATCTAGATCAAACCTTGATCTATTTTATATGTATCTATTTTACACACTTTTGTTTGTTTACATCTTTCTCTCCTTCAAGGAGAGAAAGATAAAATGCATCTTTCTTTCCACTCAGAAGAGAAAGGAAACACATGGGTGGGCTGTTCAGTAGGCAATAGTTAAAAAAGCTCTGCTGCATCAGGGTGTCCACCTTATACTGCTCCACCAAGTACTGGGTGGTCAAAGCAGTCCCACATATGAAGAGAGACAGCAACTGAACCATGAGAAGAGTCTTCAGGCATACCTGCAATGGCAAATATCACAAATCAACAAGGATACATACAGGTAGAAGCAACAAACATTTATGAGGAAATCAGCTCTAGAACAAACAAACAAAAAATAAAATGTAAAACTGCATTTTAAAAATGCAATTTTTTTTAACCCTACCTAAAACGATGTTGACCCCGACCCTTGACTCTTATCTTGACCCTAACCTAGATCAAACCTTGATCTATCTATTTTTTAACTTTACATTTATTCTTTTTTTTTTTTACACAGTTTTTTTTGTTTATATCTTTCTCTCCTGCCAGGAGAGGAAGAAACAATGCATCTTTCTCTCCATTCAGAAGAGAAAGAAAACACATGGGAGTGCTGTACAGTGACTGATCACTGTGATAGCCAGTCAGACTATCACAGCAATCAGGTGGTCATGAACCAGGAGTCCTAGTTCCTGAATGTTAGTACAAGACTTGGGGATCCCGATGAGAGAACGATCTTTGTGCTGGGAGCGAACTGTGAACACAGGAACATATATATGCGGTGTTCAGATTTAAAGCCCACCTCCTGGACACCGCATATTTGCGTTACTGTGTAATTATGGGGTTAAAGGGATGCCGAGGCTGAGAGGGAAGAGGTTAAAGAAGTATTATAAGCAAGGGTACAGTTCAAGTTTGGAAGTTTTTTACATTACAAGTAAAATTTGAGTAGAATGGAAGACAATGAAATGTTTAAGCAGTTTTACTCACCTGACCTAAATGCCAGCCAGACAGTGTAAACCATGAACAGTAGGCAATAGTTGATAAAGCTCTGCAGCATGGGGGTGTCCACCTCATACTCCTTTGCCAAGTACTGGCTGGTCACAGCAGTCCCACATATGAAGAGGGACAATAACTGGCCCATGAGAAGAGTCTTCAGGACATACCTGCAACAGCAATTATCACAAATCAACAAGGACACACATAGGTAGAAAAAAAACTAATGGAAGCATAGGGCACAGGATGAAAGCAGGTCATGTGTTGCAGTAAGGCAGTCTATTCATTTAGAATGGACCGTCAACATGCAGGAACCAAAAAATAGACAAGCAGCATTCCCCCCCACCACCACAGTGCACAGCAGTAAGTTACAATGTGTTGTGGTGCTCTGCAATGCACGTGGATCAGAGGCTGCGTTGTGCTAGTGCATTGGGGTGCCATTCAAAATGAACGGCACTGCAACATGCTATAGCATTTGTTAAAATGCATTGCAGTAACACGCACACTGCTGCAACAAACTGCAGTGCAAAAGTGTGTTTTAGCCCTCAATATTAATGGTTAAAAAACACAAAATAAAAAACAAATCAGCAGGAAAAAAAAAAAAGCTAATGTGAGAAGGGGAAGAAGGAGTTAAGGTTTATTAGAGTTAACTTAAGGGTACGTCTGCATAATCGGGGATAGCAGGGGTGTGTGTGTGTCTCAGGAAGTCGAGGGGTATATTTTTACAGAAGTAAAAAGTTTGATGTGTTTCTATTGTTTGGTTTATAAAGCACTTTCAGTCAATGCTACAGTAAAGCCTAGTACACACAATCAGAACATTGTACGATAATCTGATCTTTAGTACACAGCTTTTGTCTGAAATTACTTGAAGGCAGAAGCATGAAAATTTCTTGTACGATACCAGATCGTACAATTTTCCTTTAATCAGTACAGTTTTGTCTGAAAATACAACACAAACACATTACATCACTTCTGAATTTATATTTGGTCGTACAAGAATTTTCATATCATTAGTAACCGATTCACTTTCAATATGAGACTAGAATGCAAAAAAAAAAAAAAAAAAAGGATGAACAATCATTCGTCCAATATCCTGATCGTTGTATGGGACTTAAGGACCAGTTCACACTAGGAAATGCACTGAGGGTTCCTGTGCTATTCATATGTGGTTCAGTGCGGTGTGATCTGAACTCATTTATTCTGAATGCGCTCAAATCGCAGTGCAAAAGGGTGAGAGAGATTCCGCGCAACAGAATCAAAAGAATAGGCTGCTGCCAACACCTACCACCAGGGTGAATAAAAAAAAAAATCAAAAAAATTAAAAAAAAAAAAAAATTATCTGATTTTTTTTATTTAAATCGGATTTTTTTTTTTTATTTAAATCGGATTTTTTTAAATAAAATGCTTTTTGAGGAAAATATATTACCATCCAAAGGTTATTCCATTATGAAATAAAGATTAGTTTTTTAATTATGTAGAATAAGGCTGTATATGTTTAATTTTTTTGGTAAATAAATTCCATGAATCCATTCACAATGTCATGCTCTTCCAGAGGTTTTTGTAAGATTATTGGGCAGTTTCTCTGCCTACAAGATGTTATCACAGATGCTTGGTTTACTTTTGCAGTTCTCAAAACTGAATTTGACTCAGCGGAGATCACATGCCTCTTCTTCACAGCAAAAATGTTATAACATGAACAGAGTTAAGAAAAAGACCTTAATCCTAACTTCTATAAACCTATGAATACAGAATCAACCCCTTCAGTGCTAAGTTTCAAGAAGTTCAGTGAATAGAATAGAAACAATATTTTTCTGATTGTTTGGAGTGGAATAGATCTGCACAAGAAGAAAGTGAAACTAAGTGTGAGGAGGAAGGGGCTGACAGTCTAAGTTTCTTAAAATATATATATTTTGTTTAGCCAAATTAACGAACATGGATGTTTGTTTAAGCAAATAACATATGCTGTAATGTTATTGTTTCAGTTGAATAAATCTATTTAAATTGTTATTATTAAGGTAATGATTATTTTTCTCCTTCCTAAATACAACATAAAAGTTGTCCAAATATATTAAACTGGGGATAAAAAAACTAATATGAAAAGTTGTTATTCTAAAAATCTTCATCTACTTGCATATTAAAGTTATACCAGCAAGAATTAGTCATTATATAGAAAACTATGATTTAAATCAAGCCTTACTGACTAGTGATTTAAATCAGTTTGATTTAAATCAAATCCACCCTGCCTACCACAGACCCAATAGGAGTGTATGCAAACAAACACTATGCACCGTAGTCCTAGTGTGCATATTTGGTTTCTTGTCATTGCAATAGAGTACAGGGGTAGCGCCACACCAATATTTGTGTTTGCTCAAATCACAATGCACCGTACCCAAAGTAGTGCATACACTAATTTTGGAAATGCACTGCAACCATATTTCATGGTACTTCTGTACCATGCATTCCGGTGCAGGCTGACGCGCTGCGTTTGAGACCTGCATTTCGGGTGTCATTAACTTCACATTGACACCTGCTGCAGATCACAATTGAAGTGCTTTTTGAATGCGGTGCGGGAAACTTACATGGAATGAGGGTTTCCCACACTGCGTTCTGGTGTGAAAGGGGCCAGGATTTCTTGTTTTTCAAGTAGTATGACAAAAGGAAAAATGAAAATAAAAACTTCCTGCACCCGATGGGTGGTCAGAAATACAATTAAACCGGATGTACAGAATATAAACAGAAAAAAAGTAAGCCTCCACAGAACAATGAAGAAAAATGCAGAAGATTGTTAAACAGAATCCATCTTTACTCAACTGAGTATATTTAACCAATTGTTTACCAGGTCAATTTTTTTGCACACATACTAAAATCTGCATTGTTTGCTAGAAATTTTTGTAAAACCTTGAAAAAGTATTTATTTTCTGAAAACAGAGGCCCTAGAGGATAAATTGATGGGAGTTGCAATTTTTTTGTGTTGCACGATATTTGCACAGCTATTTATCAATTGCATATTTTCAGAAAAAAATACATTAAAATGAACTTTGGTGCAAACACACACAATATAATACCAATGTATTTGTAAAACATAAAAAATGATATTGCATCAAGTAAATAGATACCAAACATGTCAAGCTGTAAAATTGCACACACCCATAAAATCGCAAAAACTACACCGTGTTCCAAATTATTATGCAAATTCTATTTAAGTGTCACAAAGATTAAATATTTTGTTTTTCAGTTTAACTCATGGATGGCATTGTGTGTCAGGGCTCTTTTGATCACTGAAAACAATCTCGGACACCTGTGATAATTAGATTGACCGGGGAGCCCAATTTAAGGAAAAACTACTAAAGGACGGTGTTCCACATTATTAAGCAGAGCATCATTTTCAAGCAATATGAGGAAGAAAAAGGATCTCTCTGCTGCCGAAAAGAGTGAAATAGTTCAATGCCTTGGACGAGGTATGAAAACATTAGATATTTCATGAAAACTTAAGCGTGATCATCGCACTATTAAGAGATTTGTGGCTGATTCAGAGCACAAACGGGTTGGTGCAGATAAAGGCACATTGAGGAAGATTTCTGCCAGATCCATGCATCGGATCAAGAGAGCAGCTGCTAAAATACCATTACATAGCAGCAAACAGATATTTGAAGCTGCTGGTGCCTCTGCTGTCCCACGGACATCAAGGTGTAGAGTCCTCCACAGTCTTGCAACTGTGCATAAACCTTCTATTCGACCACCACTAACCAATGCTCACAAGCAGAAACGGATGCATTGGGCAGAAAATACATGAAGACTAATTTTCAAACAGTCCTGTTCACTGATGAGTGCCCTGCAACCCTGGATGGCCCAGATGGATAGAGTAGTGGATGGTTGGTGAACGGCCACCCTGTTCCAACAAGGCTGCGATGTCAGCAAGGCAGTGGTGGAGTCATGTTTTGGGCCGGAATCATGGGAACAGAGCTGGTCAGCCCCTTTAGGGGCCCCGAAGGTGTAAAGATGACCTCTGCAAAGTATGTGGAGTTTATGACTGACCACTTTCTTCCCTGGTACAGAAGGAAGAACTATGTTTTCCGTAATAAAATCATCTTCATGCATGACAATGCACCATCTCATGCTGCAAAGAATACCTCTGCATCAATGGCTATTATGGGGATAAAAGGAGAGAAAGTCATGGTGTGGCCTCCATCCTCCCGACCTCAATCCTATTGGGAACCTTTGGAGCATCCTCAAGCAAAAGATCTATGAGGGTGGGAGGCAGTTTACATCCAAACAGCAGCTCTGGGAGGCTATTCTGACATATTGCAATCAAATTCAAGCAGAAACTGTCCAAAAACTCACAAGTTCAATGGATGCAAGACTTGTGAAGCTGCTATCAAATAAGGGGTCCTATGTTAAAATGTAACGTGACCTGTTCAAATGTTTAAAAAGTTAAAATGTTGTTAAAAGTTTGACTGAAATAGCTTTTGATTTCAGTAAATATGCTGCAAACACAACAAATAACAATTTTCAGTTCTTTACAACCTATAAAGTGTTTTGAAACTTACTGTGCGTAATAATTTGGAACAGTGCATTGGAAGTTTATGTATGAAAAAAATACTGTTATCATTAGGAGGTTTGTTCAATAAAATGTGAATTGTTCTCTTAATAGTTGATAACATGAGAATTATGCTGACTGTTATTTACATCATATTTAGGTAAATGAGAAAAATATAATTTGCATAATAATTTGGAACACGGTGTATGGTAAAACTTTTCCAACAGGCAACACTTTAAAAGCCTTTACAGCTTATCACTTTACAGATACTGTGAATTATGGTCCTGGAATTATTGCTCTCAACGTTCCACAATGATAACTCACATGTGCTGTAACAGAGTAAGTATACAATTACGTGGAGTTTTTATGAATTGGGCATAAAATGTGCTCTTGTCAACTAAATCACAACAAAAGAAGAACACAGTCTGCTGAACATTACTACACAAACATTAGATGTTGCCATGGTTTAATTGCACATAACATGTAAACATTCACAGTGCAGAGAGGAAAAAGTATGTGAACCTTTGGACTTAATAACTGGTTGACCCTCCTTTGGCAGCAATAACCTCAACCAAACGTTTCCTGTAGTTGCAGATCAGACCTGCACAACGATCTGGAGTCATTTAGGACCACTCCTCTTCACAAAACTGTTTCAGTGTAGCAATATTCTTGGGATGTCTGGTGTGAATCGCTCTCTTAAGGTCATGCCACAGCATTTCAATCGGGTTGAGGTCAGGACTCTGACTGGGCCACTCCAGAAGGCGTATTCTGTGCTGTTGCAGCCATTGTTTTGTTGAATTACTTGTATGCTTTGGGTCATTGTCCTGTTGCATCACCCATCCTCTGCGGGGCTTCAGTTGGCGGACAGATGGTCGTATGTTTTCCTGCAAAATGTCTTGATAAACTCTGGAATTCATTTTCCCATCAATGACAACAATCTGTCCAGGCCCTGAGGCAGCAAAGCAGCCCCAAACCATGATGCTCCCTCCGCCATGTTTTACAGTGGGGATGAGGTTTTGATGTTGGTACTGTGCCTTTTTTTTCTCCACACATAGTGTTGTGTGTTTTCCCAAACAACTCAATCTTGGTTTCATCTGTCCACATTTATTTTGCCAGTAGTGCTGTGGAACATCCAGGTGCTCTTTTGCAAACTTAAATGTGCTGCAATATTCTTTTTGGACAGCAATGGCTTCCTCCGTGGTGTCCTCCCATGTACTCCATTCTTGTTTAATGTTTTCCTTATTGTAGATGTGTCAACAAAAATGTTAGCATGTGCCAGAGATTTCTGTAGGTCTTTAGCTGACACTCTGGGATTCTTCTTTACCTCATGCAGCATTCTGCGCTGTGCTCTTGCAGTCATTTTTACAGGACGACCACGCCTAGGGAGAGTAGCAACAGTGCTAAACTTTCTCCATTTGTACACAGTCTGTCTTACCGTGGACACATAAACATCAAGGCTTTTGGAGATACTTTTGTAACCCTTTCCAGCTTCATGCAAGTCAACAATTCTTGATCGTAGGTCTTCTAAGAGCTCTTTTCTGCGAGGCATGGTTCACATCAGACAGTGCTTTTTGAAACCAGTAAACCCAAAACAGGTGTGTTTTTAAGGGCAGGACAGCTGTCAGCAACACATCCAATATCATCACACTGATTGGAGTCAAGGTTGGCTCACTCCTGGCTCCAATTAGCTCTGGGAGAAGTCATTAAGCTAGGACCTCACATACTTTTTCCTCCTGCACTGTGAATGTTTAATGTTATGTGCAATTAAAACCATGGCAACATCTAATGTTTGTGTTAGTATTATGTTTCAGCAGACTGTGTTCTTCTATGTGACTTAGATGACGTTCAGAGCACATTTTATGCCCAATTCATGCAAAAACTCCACGTAATCCCAAGGGGTTCACATACTTTTTCTTGCAAGTATGTGCGCGCCCTATATGGTTTTTATAAGGGGAACGTACAGGGGTGAAGGGAATGGTTTAAAATGTGTTTTCGTTATTTTTATTTTATAGGTTTATATATTAATATTTATTTATTTATAATAGTTATATAATTTTTCTTTAATTTTTTTTACTCTACTGTTTATGCAGACATTGGGGGTCTATCAGTAATGCACATCGCTTCTAGCATCATTAGACACAGGAGGGATTGGGGAACATCTGTTCCTCAAGTTCCTCCTGCTCTAACTGGGGAAGTTGTTTCCCTTGACCTTGGGCTCTCCAGTGCCATCGCCAACCTTTTTTTTTTTTTTTTTTTTTTTTAAGTTTTGTATAGAGTAGAGAGGGATTAGAAAATGTACTGTCTGTGCCCCCATTAGGGAGAGTCACCCTCCCTGTTGGTCCTGGCGACTGTTAGAACTGAAAGTGAAAGAGAATTCCAAATTGTGAGTGGTCACCAGAACAGGAATAGAGGAGAATATTCCAAAGTGGACACTAGTTCTGGTGAATACCAGAGATTTCCATGATTTTGTAAGAGCTCACTTCCCATTTTGGCTATGGCACTGCAAATGAAGGGCAATCTCCCCAATGGAAAACAAGATGGCAAAAAAAACAACCTGACAGGGGTTATAACCCTCCCTTACGCTATCCAAAAGAAATATTTGCTACCAGTTCTTTTTCCAGCAAGAAATTCTTGAAGATCAGGGTTAGTATTTCCTAGAGTGGTCCACTGAATTTATGGAAGTCAATTTACTTCTCATAGATCATACTCCTATTTTATCCTAGATCACAGTCAAGGCCCAGAGATTTAACTTTTTCAATCACCTAATACCTAGATGTAGAATCACCTTCCTTATCTGCTTTTTCGAAAAATGTTGATAAACAAGTCATCTTCCTCCCTGTGGCACTGACCTATGCATCTTGCTAGAGGTCACAGGAATGCTATGATATGTCTTTGACATGCTAATTTTGACTCAAAAGAATGTTCTTTTTTTGCTTACAGAGTGGATTGTGGTCTGTCAAAATGGGCAGCAGTTTATGTACACCTTGTCCAAGGGAATGGTTTCTTTTATGATAAGCATTGGAGACTGTGGACAACCACGTGAAAGACTGTACCTTGCCTTGTTGGTCCTCATGCACCCAGCTGCCTTGATGTAAAATTCCTTGCCTGGGAGACACAGCTGTCCATAGACACGTACAGTACCTGCGTAACCATGTGCATAAATATGGACATACACTATTGGACACAGATGGTCTGGAGTTGTATGTTTGCGTGTCAAACGATCCCAAGTGCCATGTGCATGAAGCCTAAGAATGAGGCTTTTAACAATACTAGAGTGTGAAAGATTCCTCTTGAAATCTATATAGCGCCTTTGATCTATATAGACCAGGCATCACTAAACGGCGGACCGCGGTCCAGATGTGGACCAACCAGGGGCGGACTGACAACTCATGGGGCCCCCGGGCAATAGGGGATCATGGGGCCCCTGTGTCCTTGCCCAAACTCAAAAAAGCCTATGAAAAAGGTACCAGGGGCATCTCATGGGGCCCCCTACTGACCCCGGGCCCTTGGGCAGTGCCCGATTTTCCAAATGATCAGTCCGCCCCTGGGACCAAGCCACTGTCCCATCCAGACCTGGACATCATTTAGGAGCCTTCCTTCCCTCTGGCCTCAGCCACTGTCATTCTCAAGGCAGCATGGAGAGCAAGAGGCAGGGGATAGCAAAGAATAGAAAGCAACCAGGAGGGCACAGCTGCACTGAACAGAGGGCAGGGGCAGGAGCAGCACGAGTTTCGGCATAATTAGCAGGTGATTGGTTGCTAGGGAACCGGGAGGTCCTAGCAACCAATTACCAGCTTGTTAATAGGAAATGTTAACCTTGGCAGCGCCCAGCTGCTGCCCGCCACCCAGCAGCTGTGCCTCCCGGCCACACTCTATTCTGTGCACGGTAGGCAAGAGGACATGGCTATAAAAGGGGGGGGGGGGCAGGGTTTTTGTGTGCGTGGTAAATTGAAGGGAGTGGCAGATATGTATTCTGTATTCACATTGTACAGCATACACCAGCCATTCTCAACCAGGGTTCCTCCAGAGTTTGCTGGGGGTTCCTTGAGCGGTGGCTGAGATCTGCCATGTGATGGTGCCTGCAGAGGTCAGGAGCCAACACCACTTGGCAGAGCCAGCAGCATAATAATTGTTTTTTTTTTTTAACGGTCTGTAAGGGTTGCATCCACCCTATTGGCCCCCAATGTAAGAGCATTCTTCCCAATGACCTCTGATGAATTGGTTTCAGTAGGGGTCCTCAGATCTAATTTTTTTTAGGGATTCCTCTGGGGGACAAATATTGAGAAATGGTGGTGTATACAGTCACCTCCCTCCCAGAATACACATTATAACTTTTACACCCCAATCCCAGCACCATCAGGCAAGTTACCATGAGAACATCTTCCCCCAGACTCGGGACAGGAGATCGCACATCCTGGGGTTCTGTAGAGGAGGAGAGGCTTCCACCAGAGAGGGCTGACTGGCTTCCATATCCTCCATCCTTCAGGTCAACACAGGGGAGACGACCACATGCAGAGGAACAATGAGACTCCAATACAGCCCGCTGCGCTCAGGACAATCCGATGAGGACAAGCATGAAGACAGGGTGATGGAGCAATGAGGACAGGGATGGTAATTATCTGATAAGGATCACCCAATTAAGACAGGGATGATGATGATCTGATAATGACCCAATGAAGACAGGGATGATCAGACGAAGACAGGGATGATGATATAACAAGGATAAGAATAACCCAATGAGGGATAGGGATGATCTTCAGATGAGGACAGGGTGATGAAGCAATGAGGACAGGGATGATCAGATGAAGACAGGGATAATGATGATCTGACAAGGATGATCTTCAAACAGGGGACAGGGATGATGATCCAGTGAGGCTATGGATCATCCAACGAGGGCAGTGATGGTGATTGGATGATGATCCAATGAGGACAGGGATGATATTCAGAGGAGGATAGGGATGACTCGAGGACAGGAAAGGTCGTCAGATGAGGACAGGGATGACTCAATTATAGGCATGATGTTCAGATGAGGATAGGGATGACTCATTGAGGGATGATGTTCAGATGAGGGGGGGCTCAAGGACAGGGATGATGATGGTGATGTTCTTCAGATGAGGACAGGGATGATGGTGATGTTGATCTTCAGATGAGGACAGGGGTGATGGTGACGATGATCTTCAGATGAGCACAGGGATGATGGTGATGTTGATCTTCAGATGAGGACAGGGATGATGGTGACGTTGATCTTCAGATGAGGACAGGGATGATGGTGACGATCTTCAGATGAGGACAGGGATGATGGTGACGATCTTCAGATGAGGACAGGGATGATGGTGACGATCTTCAGATGAGGACAGGGATGATGGTGATGATCTTCAGATGAGGACAGGGATGAAGTTGATCTTCAGATGAGGATAGGGATGAAGTTGATCTTCAGATGAGGACAGGGATGATGGTGATGTTGATCTTCAGATGAGGACAGAGATGATGGTAGTGTTGATCTTTAGATGAGGACAGGGATGATGGTGATAACATGGTCCTGTGTTTCTGTATGATCAGGATGCAGATAATCGCCCTGTGTGATGGCAGTGCAGTGATTGGATGGTGGGTGGTGCTCCTCGGTGTAGTGGATGGCCGGTGCAGGTCATTCAGCAGGTGACCTCTCTCTCTCTCCGCTCTCCTCTCCGGTTCTCTGCGATCTCAACATGTGTATCCGATGTCTCAGGGAGGGGGCGTGTCCTCATGTCTCCAGCAATTCTTCCTTCTGACGTGTTCGGCAGACATTACAAGCAGAGTGCAGAGAAAGCACATGGCCAGGATGCTTCATTGAGCGCCGAGTCATCTCTCTGACCTAGGAGGACGTGAGCTGTGTCCACATGCTGGGTGTGATGTGTCTGGTCCGAGCAATGACAATTGCATCACGATTGTACTTGATTCATAGTCCATATAACAGTAAAAGATCCTTCTCCAAAAATAATCCATACACATGCACTGGTGTGTTTCTGTCTTTTGTAACATCCTACGTGAACTCCCAAACCTCTCCTTTTCCACTCTCTTACCTTTGGAGCAAGCAGTGCACATTACTTGCTACTTTTTGTACGCTACAAATCCCATAGTCCGTGTCAGGAATGAAAGAGGGTGGCAGCATTCCTACACACAGTGGGACCATGGAGAACAAACGTAGTCACCCTCTACCAGGAAGTCACAGCAGCAAGAAAGAAAGAAGGCATTTGAGGATTCTAATTTAAGTTTGAGTTGTTACCATAACCACTTCAATCCGAGGCTGGATAAAAAGGAAAATTAAGAGTAAAAACACCAACAATTCAGCTGCAGTTACTAAGAGACACGTGGTCTAAAGACTAAAATATAATACAAGTGTAACCACGCTGTATGTGGTCCATATCTACACTATATTGCCAAAAATATTGGGACACCCCTCCAAATCATTGGATTCAGGTGCTCCAATCACCTCCATGACCACAGGTGTATAAAATCAAGCACCTAGACATGCAGACTGCTTCTACAAACATTTGTGAAAGAACGGGTCACTCTCAGGAGCTCAGTGACTCCAAGCGTGGTACTGTGATAGGTTGCCATCTGTGCAATCAGTCCATCTGTGACATTTCCTTGCTACTAAATATTCCATGGTCAACTGTTAGTGGTATTCTAACAAAGTGGAAGTAACTGGGAACAACAGCCACTCAGCCACAAAGTGGTAGGACACGTAAAATGACAGAGTAGGGTCAGCACATGCTGAAGTGCACAGTGTGCAAAAGTCACCAACTGTCTGCAGAGTCGATAGCTAAAGACCTCCAAACTTCATGTGGCCTTCAGATTAGCACACAACAACAGTGTGTAGAGAGCTTCATGGAATGGGTTTCCATGGCCGAGCAGCTGCATCCAAGTCTTACATCACCAAGTGCAATGCAAAGCGTCGGATGCAGTGGTGTAAAGCATGCCGCCACTGTACTCTAGAGCAGTGGAGACATGTTCTCTGGAGTGACCAATCACGCTTCTCTGCCTGGCAATCCGATAGACATGTCTGGGTTTGATGGTTGCCAGAAGAACGGTACTTACCTGACTGCGTTGTGCCAAGTGTAAAGTTTGGTGGAGGGGGGATTATGGTATGGGGTTGTTTTTCAGGAGTTGGGATGGCCCCTTAGTTCAGTGAAGGGAACTCTTAAGGCAGCAGCATATCAAGACATTTTGGACAATTTCATGCTCCCAACTTTGTGGGAACAGTTTGGGGATGGCCCCTTCCTGTTCCAACATGACTGCACACCAGTGCACAAAGCAAGGTCCATAAAGACATGGATGAGTGAGTTTGGGGTGGAGGAACCTGACTGGCCTATACAGAGTCCTGACCTCAACCCGATAGAACACCTTTGAAATGAATTAGAGTGGAGACTGTGAGCCAGGTCTTCTCGTCCAACATCAGTGCCTGACCTCACAAATGCACTTCTGGAAGAATGGTCAAACATTCCCATAGACACACTCCTAGACCTTGTGGACAGCCTTCCCAGAAAGAGTTGAAGCTGTTATAGCTGCAAAGGGTGGGTCAACTCAATATTGAACCCTATGGACTAAGACTGGGATGCAAATAAAGTTCATGTGTGTGCAAAGGCAGCCATCCCAATACTTTTGGACATATAGTGTATGTAAATGAATATATAAATTTAATGTGGACTCACCAGTAAATAGATATGTGTTAAATTCAATCACAAAAACATGGTCCCCCAAACAATATATTAAAACTTCTATAATAAATAGTGCAAATATATAATTAAATATATCAAATATTCAAAAATTAGAAATTGGTGCTTAAATAAAGTTCATGCTGAATAAAAATTATACATATGTAGTACTGTCCTCGTAAGGGCCGCTGGATTTGATTGGGTCCCCCTAAGCTTTGCACGACCAGGCAACAACGCATTTTCCACACGTTGATGTATTCTCAGTCAGCAAAACAGTCCTTGAGCTGGCTTTCCTGACGGCTCCATGTCAGCACAACCAGGTGAGGCTCCGCCCAACCCCCTGCCTGATCAGGACATAACTCAAAACATTTGACCCTCCTCAGCCTAGGCGTTCTTTTTTCTTCTTCCTGCAGTCAGGACAGGTGGCATCTCCTCTCCTAGCTGGTCTAATGGCTGGCTGTCCGTCCAGAATCGATCTCAAGGTTGGACTCGGTCCCTGTACTCCTTTGCTAACAGCCGTTTGACCATGGAGACCAGGGAGCCCTCGGGGCGGCATGAGGCCGTGGTATAGTACTGATGGCTTTTGGGGTGTTACACCGGTGGTCAGGGTTCCTCAGCGGCTGCTGGTAGGGGTAATCTCCTGCCTTGGTGGCTGCTGGGTGTGATGGCTGCTAAGGGGACCGGAGCCAGTCTCCCTGCTTCTTACCAGTACTGCCCGGTCAGTGTGTGTGGGCCACGGTGGAGTGCACGCTGTGGCCCGCTCTGAGCATGCGCAGACCGCTCGACCAATCAGGAGAGGGGAGGCAGGGCCTTATGGGAGCCAAAATTGCCAATGATTGCGTGCTTCTGCAGCCTGCCTGTGCCTGCTATTCTCTCGCTCCCCTCCAGGTATGCATTGCACCTGCAAGGCTGTGCTTCTGTGGTTCTATCTGCTGTGTTGCTCTGCCTCATGCTCTTGATTTTATCTTTTTTGCAACAGTGATAACATGCCTACCCCCTCTAGAGACCAGCGTTCTCAGAGAAGGTAGGGGAGACATCACCAGATGCGCATATTTTTTTTGGTGTTTTTCAAGTCAAAGACTAATTTTGTCTTTTTTGTCTGTGCTGCCCCAGCTGCTCAGATCTTGGTCATGATCATTCCCAATGATCAGAAGCAAGAAGCTCAGGAAGGACAGAGACCAGCGTTCCTGGTCAGCCTCTAGGGGTCACTGCTCCCCATCACGATGCGGCAGGGATTCGCATTATGACCAACCCAAACCAGGAGGATGCTGGGCAAGCCCTAGAAGAGCCATGCCAGGCAAGACGGCTTGTGAGACTTGTTTCAAAGAAGCAACCAAACACCAAGAGCCCGGTAAGGTGAAGATGGTATCGCTAATGAAGCAGGTATTTGAGAAGACACTAAAAGGCGTTTGCATCGCAGTTACAGCCGTCAGCCACCCGAGTTCCATCCAACTCCTTGTCTACGCCAGCTGATCAGGTGATTCCAGAGACCCAGGAACTTTCAACCTTAGATGCTGTTTCCTTGGAGGAGAATGAGGGCCATTATGACGGTTTTGATTTTGCCTTTTTCCAGGCTTTCGTGAAGGAGATTAGGCAGGCTCTGCTTTGGGAAGACGCTGGCGAAGAACCGCAGAAGAAGCAGAGGACGTTTTTCACGAACATGAAAAAGGAGAGGGTGAATGTCCCTTTCATCGAAAAAATTAAGGACATAATTATGGA